TATTCATGTACATTTTTATGCTGGTCGAAGCAGTGGCGCAGTAGGTTGTGCTGTCCTCTCACAGCAAGAAGGTCGCTGGTTCGAGCCTCGGTTCAGTTGGCGTTTCTGTGTGAAGTTTGCATGTTCTCCCTGCATTCGTGTGGGTTTCCTCCGGGTGCTCCGGTTTCCCCCACAGTCCAAAGACATACGGTACAGGTGAATTGGATAGGCTAAATTGTCCATAGTGTATGAGTGTGTGTGTAAATGTGTGTGTGGGTGTTTACCAGAGACGGGTTGCAGCTGGAAGGGCATCCGCTGCGTAAAAACTTGCTGGATAAGTTGGCGGTTCATTCTGCTGTGGCGACCCCAGATTAATAAAGGGACTAAGCCGACAAGAAAATAAAGACATTTTTATGCTTCAATAATTAAATTGATCATTTGAGTCTTTGATTTTCTAACTAGCACTCTTGTACGGTGGCCGGGAAGTGCAAAACAACAATACAAAGTTTGAAACACCTTTACAAAGCTCGAGACAAATTTACATTTTGAAAAACATTTTTACTTATCATCAGACACAATTACATAGGAAAAACAATTTTACCAAGAACAAAACAAATTTACATTTTAGAAAACAAATTAACAAGACGCAAAACACTTTTACAAATCCCGAAACAAATTTACAATTACATATTCCCTACGGAAAGGAAATGTACCACACCTCGCGAACGCTCACGCTCAATCTGCCCAGTTGGTGGAATGAACTCCCTAACTGCATCAGAACAACAGAGTCACTCGCTACTTTCAAGAAACGACTAAAAACCCAACTATTTAGTCTCCACTACACTTCCTAATCTGCAATTGCCTCTCAGAATATCACACTAACTGTACAAAAAAAATAAATAAATAAATAATACTACTAATACTTCCCTTCTTAGACTTTACAGACCTGAAACTTGCCTATAGCACTTATTCATTGTTGCTCTTGGTTGTGTAAATTGCTTCCTTGTCCTCATTTGTAAGTCGCTTTGGATAAAAGCGTCTGCTAAATGACTAAATGTAAATGTAAATGACCCCGGAAGTGACGTAGAATGTACCACACACTAGTAGTGAACTGAAATGTAACACACACACTGGAAAATATCAATAATATCCAGCTCGTGTGTGACTTTGTAGACAGGTTTCCACAAGTCTACAACTATAAAAATCATGGTTTGACTAACTGCGATAAAACATATTAGAGCTATTCTAAGACAATATCAGCGAGAGAGTGCATAGGAACATGTAAATGCAAGTACATGGAAACAATTCAAGCACGGCACATGTTGACTGATAAGATACCAAAACCGATCTCAAGTCGTACAGAGGTTTATGCCATGTAGACTTGACTTTATGTTAACGATTACAGTGTACGAGTGGATCTCGTAAAAATATTGAACACATTGATGCAGCATGTCTGGTGTTTCCGTCTGTTCCGCGTCCTTTATAAACTCTAAACACCGACCACACGCAAAGCAAAACCGTGTTAAGCTGCTCATTTGTTTGCCATAAAACGGGCAAAACAACCCTCGACCGCTGTCCATGTTCAGTCACCATAAACTTTGTTTACGCCATGTACTCCACAGCACGAATTTACCGCGCTCACCAGCAACAACAACAACTTTCCCCCGCATCACTACCAGTGTGTGGTACATTCTACTTCACTTCCGGGGTGTGGTACATTCCTTTTCCGTAGGGAATCTAATTGTAAATTTGTTTCAAGATTTGTAAAAGTGTTTTGCGTCTTGTTAATTTGTTTTCTAAAATGTAAATTTGTTTCGTCCTTGGTAAAATTGTTTTCCCTATGTTATTGTGTCTGATCAGGGCCGGAGTGGGACTCTTTTTCAGCCCTGGAGTTTCAAGCCTTAGACCGGCCCACCTCAGTTCACCACTGACTATGTTAAAATAAGGTAATTTCCAATTCAGTTTCTAATTACACTATCACGTCTTTTTTTGAGAAAACAGCTGTTTTAGAACTTCAAATGTTCAACAACCCTTACAGTATTAAATGTCTTAACAATAAAAATAAAAAAAAAAATATATGTTTTTCAGGCGGGGATCGAACCCGGGTTGGCAGCACCACAACCTAACGTGCTAACCACTGTACCACAACAGCTGTGCATACAGATGTGACCTATCTACTTACATCTATCTTATCTACTTATATTGTTCACGAGACTACGAGAAAATAGATAAAAAGAGCAGAGCTGCGGTAAAATAATGAATAAGAAGGCTGTGGTCAAGTAAATAAATAAATTATTTTTAAAAAGTGTGACTGCTGAGAGCAACAGATTCTGGAGCTAGGAACACCGGCCCTCACGGCCAAAAAACGGACCGGCCCACCGGGAATTCTCCCGGTCCTCCCGATTAGCCAATCCGGGTCTGTGTCTGATGATAGGTAAACATGTTTTTTAAAATGTAAATTTGTCTCGAGCTTTGTATAAGTGTTTCAAACTTTGTAATGTTGTTTTGCACTTCCCGGCCACCGTACTCTTTGGCCTCCATAATCATGACACTGAAGACTAATCATGTGTACAATTCAGGCTTAAACGTGAATAAATAAAATTTTAAAGAACATTTAATAAAAGAACAGTGATTTAAAAAATTTTAGTGAGCACAATAAGCTTATTATAAATTATTCCAAACTTTTAAAGGGGCTGTATATTATAGTATTTACAACTATTTGTTGTACAACATCTTGTTTTTTTTTTTTGTTTTTTTACATGGGTGGAAGCCTTTGTTGAACCCACCTGTTTCTGATGTTTGCTGGGGAGCGATTCTGAATGTCTGGCAACTGTGCAGAGCTAAAAAAAAAAAAAAAAGATCACTGTATTAAGTAGTTTGAGGGGACATGTGGTACATTGTCCAGTGGCTCCCAGTGCTTCAGCATCCCTGTACATGTTGTCGGTGGACCTGGTTTTACTGCTGGTGCTGGTTGTGGCCAAATATAGTGGGAACTATAGTAAAAGTTCAGTGGCATCTGAGGTAACAGGTGGATATTCTATTGATAGAGCAGGTGGAAGAAGTGGCTTTGGTGCTGGTCATCTCATCAAAATTAAACGGAAACTTATTAAAATAGATTATAATCACATTTGATTTTTTTTTAACTTAAAATGACAATCTTTTTGCTAAATTAAAATTATTCAACCCATTCTTTAAACAGGGTTTTGCTTGTCACCCTAAAGAGTTTAAAACAATAATTAATATTATCCCTAAACACATCACAGTATTGATCAGAGGTTTTCTTTCACACTATTCTGTAATGTTCTCTCTTCCATCTTTATTTTTAGAGATCCAAAATGTAATAATAAGTTTTAAATGAATATTCTTATTCAAAGGCTTCATCATAATCAGCTCAGACCTCGTTTATTTTTAAAGATTTTAATTCACAGGAATTAGAAAAATAAGACAAGTTACATTTCTTTTTCAATTCTCCCCAAAATTAAAGAACTTTAGTTTAAATGATTAATGATGTGTATCCATCAAAAGAATTCCTGAGATTAAAAGTTGATAATAAGGAGATCTTGTCAATTTTGTGAAAGTCATATTGAAAACACTGAGCATGTTTTCTATAATTGCATATACTCATGTCTCATGTCAATATCCATGTCCAAACCCTTTTTGCAATAAACAAGTTAAATTTAATGTGACTAAAGAAAATTGTACACAGCATTAAGTAGTTAATAACCATTTATGCTTTGCAAAAAATTCTTCATTCATAAATATATAAATTTATAAATGTTGGTTTTTAAACCTTTTAAAGGGTGACAATGAGATTTATAGACCCATACTAGTTTAAAAAAAAACTACCTTTTTTCAGTTTTATTTTGCCCACATAATATTGCTGTTAGTAATTGTAGTCACACACACACACACATATGTGTGTGTGTGTGTGTGTATATATATATATATATATATATATATATATATATATATATATATACATGTATATACATGTGTGAGTGTGTGTGTGACTACTATTACTAACAGCAATGTTAGGTGGGAAACCCAGTATCAGATTACTGAAGCACTTCAGCTATCTGTTTATTCAAATTCTATATATATATATATATATATAGAATTTGAATAAACAGATAGCTGAAGTGCTTCAGTAATCTGTTGAGTACTGGAATTAGCATGTAGGCTAACAAATCACTCATATTCTCATTCACAATAGAGATACTGGGCTTCCCATACACAGATTTATTTGTAGTAATGTGGGAGTTTTCACATGAACATCTCTTCAAAGGTAACCAGTTGTTTACAGAAAGTTTAATTGTCTTCATGAGGAAAACTTTTTTATTTTCTAAAATCAGTCCATCAAAATAAATGTGTTGTGTTTTGAAACCAAAGTCTTCATTTGTTACCCACAACTCATCAAGATTTGATCAAGTCAAAATCTCATAATCTGACACAAATCTGATCTGTGGTAACTGGCAAATGGCATTGTGTAGTCTGAACAGGGCTTTATGGAGTCTGCATCAGTCTCTCACTGTCACTGCAAGTTCACACCGACCGACTTTTATTCACCAACAAGTTTTGTGAAACTGCAGACAAAAGCCCAAAATTGGAGGCAAATCTGTTTGTTCAAGAGAGTAAAAATCAAACAGTGTGAACGATCAAAAACACAATCTAAGAGTGTAGGACAATTTTCTCTGCATCTCCCCAAACATTTTCTCCTCCCTAATCTTTCTAATTCTCTTTTCAGAGCCGATCATTTGATTGCAGTGTGCAATGTGCACAAATTTGGTTCTCAGTTCATAATAACTTGAAACACATATAGAGTTATTTTGCTTCATTGCAGCCCTGTAGAAACTCTCACAATCTGGTACATCTTCACCCCTCATGATTCTAGCTTTCGTTGTGAAGCTCTTTCCACAATGAGCACATGCAAACGGCTTCTGTCCGGTGTGACTTATCATGTGGTGTTTGAGTGAGCCTGTATGTGGGAAACTTTTACCACACTCTGTGCATGTGTAAGGTTTCTCTCCAGTGTGAATCCTCATGTGGATGGTAAGGTTTTGTTTTTGAGAAAAACCTTTCCTACACTGTGTGCAAATAAAGCTTCTCTCTCCAGTGTGTGTTCTCATGTGGGTTTCAAGATTGCCATTTTGCTTACAACTCTTTCCACACTGAGGGCAAGAGTAGAGCCTCTCCCCAGAGTGAATTCTTCTGTGCACTGCCAAGTTTCCTGTAGAATAGAAGCTTTTTCCACACTGTTGGCATGTGTACGGCCTCTCTCCAGTGTGAATTCTCATGTGCACTGTTAAGTTTCCTGTATTATAGAAGCTTTTTCCACACTGTTTGCAGGTGAAAGGTTTCTTTCTAGTGTGAACATCAAGGTTTGGCTTTTGATAGAAACTCTTTCTACTCTGTTTACAGCTGTAATTACACCTAGACTTGGATTTCCGAGATCTTCCACGTGATAAAGTCTTTTTAGTGAGTGTGGGTTTTTCATCAGTCGTTATTTCTTGTTGTTTCTCTTCCATTTCATTCCATTGATGTGTCTCTTCTTTCAGCACCATCAGGTCTTCAAAAAAGAACAAAAAAGTGAACTTTAGTATAAAGGCTTAAAGTGGCAAGCATGAAATGGATGTTTACCCTAAATATAAAAATGAGCTTACCATTTACTCTCCATCATGTGGTTTTAAACATTTCCTGTCTTCTGGAACACAAAGTAAGCCAGCATTTTTATCACTATTCCTTATTTTGTGAAGGAAAGTAAATGGTGAGGCTATTTTCATTTCTGTGTCAGAAAGTCATACCAACACTGACTCACATAATCAACACATCTCTTGACTTTGGTTTATTCCCCACTGTATTACTACTCTAATTGTGAATCTTTACTGTTCCTGTTTCAGTAGGGTGCTCTTGCTAAAAGGAGCAATGGCAGAGAGAGACTTCCAGTGCAGACTTTGTTCCTAGTGAAGCCCTTCAGCTTTGGCCAAGGAGTCTACATTTGGATGTGAGCGGAAGCATGCAGTATCTCTTCGCAAGTCTGTTTGCTCAAGCAGAGAGGTCATTCTCAAGCATCCTAAAAGGACTGCCTGGCAGCGATGGGATTCGAACCCACGCCCCCGAAAAGACTGGATCCTAAATCCAACGCCTTAGACCACTCGGCCACGCTACCTTACAACGCTGCTTTCCCTGAGCAGTTTCGACACCAACTTGTTTCAAGTAGCGCAACAGCTCTGGGAAATCAGTTCAATTTAGCCATGCCTAGCTGGAGCTCCTCCACAAAGAAAGAGACCTCCTTAATACCAGCTTAGGAAGCACTCCCACCTTCCTGTCAACCACAGTTCTGTCTCTATTTGAGCACACCTCAAGGCATTCCTGTCAACCACAGTTCTGTCTCTATTTGAGCACACCTCAAGGCATTTGAAGACTTCTCCTTACGGCAGCCAGCTGCGATGCATTTAAGCACCTGATTACAAGGTAACTGTTATTTCACAAAAGAGTGAAAGTTACTGATTCCATCACAGCAGACCCCACATTGTTGTTGTTATTATATTCAAATCCAGTTATAGAGTATTACTACTCTAATTGTGAATCTTTACTGTTCCTGTTTCAATAGGGTGCTCTTGCTAAAAGGAGCATTGGCAAAGAGAGACTTCCAGTGCAGACTTTGTTAAGATGCTGCAATCTAATCGTGGGAAAGACACTTGCTCCTGAGCAGATTCGAGCTTGGGGATGTGTTGCTGTCACACCAACGAGTCTGCCGTGAGTTTCAGAGAACACATTATACTGACTAGTTGACGACTTAAATTTACTCTCTCACTTCCAGCCTTCACTGCGAACGCGCACACACTCAAACAGTTTGGCCGTGTTTAAAACCACATCTGGCAGCGGTGGGATTCGAACCCACGCCCCCGAAGAGACTGGAGCCTAAATCCAGCGCCTTAGACCCCTCGGCCACGCTACCATAGATGAATTGCTGCAGTGGTCCCTTTTCTGCCCAATTTTACCGAAGCAGAACAGCAGAGAGGACGCAGAGCTTCCTAGTGAAGCCCTTCAGCTTTGGCCAAGGAGTCTACATTTGGATGTGAGCGGAAGCATGCAGTATCTCTTCGCAAGTCTGTTTGCTCAAGCAGAGAGGTCATTCTCAAGCATCCTAAAAGGACTGCCTGGCAGCGATGGGATGCAAACCCACACCCCCGAAGAGACAGGAGCCTAAATCCAGCACCTTAGACCGCTCGGCCACGCTACCTTACAAAGCTGCTTTCCCTGAGCAGTTTCGACACCAACTTGTTTCAAGTAGCGCAACAGCTCTGGGAAATCAGTTCAATTTAGCCATGCCTAGCTGGAGCTCCTCCACAAAGAAAGAGACCTCCTTAATACCAGCTTAGGAAGCACTCCCACCTTCCTGTCAACCACAGTTCTGTCTCAATTTGAGCACACCTCAAGGCATTTGAAGAATTCTCCTTACGGCAGCCAGCTGCGATGCATTTAAGCACCTGATTACAAGGTAACTGTTATTTCACAAAAGAGTGAAAGTTACTGATTCCATCACAGCAGACCCCACATTGTTGTTGTTATTATATTCAAATCCAGTTATAGAGTATTACTACTCTAATTGTGAATCTTTACTGTTCCTGTTTCAATAGGGTGCTCTTGCTAAAAGGAGCATTGGCAAAGAGAGACTTCCAGTGCAGACTTTGTTAAGATGCTGCAATCTAATCGTGGGAAAGACACTTGCTCCTGAGCAGATTCGAGCTTGGGGATGTGTTGCTGTCACACCAACGAGTCTGCCGTGAGTTTCAGAGAACACATTATACTGACTAGTTGACGACTTAAATTTACTCTCTCACTTCCAGCCTTCACTGCGAACGCGCACACACTCAAACAGTTTGGCCGTGTTTAAAACCACATCTGGCAGTGGTGGGATTCGAACCCACGCCCCCAAAGAGACTTGAGTCTAAATCCAGCGCCTTAGACCCCTCGGCCATGCTACCCTAGATGGATCCATGCAGTGGTCCCTTTTCTGCCCAATTTTACGGAAGCAAAACAGCAGAGAAGACGCAGAGCTTCCTAGTGAAGCCCTTCAACTTTGGCCAAGGAGTCTACATTTGGATGTGAGCGGAAGCATGCAGTATCTCTTCGCAAGTCTGTTTGCTCAAGCAGAGAGGTCATTCTCAAGCATCCTAAAAGGACTGCCTGGCAGCGATGGGATTCGAACCCACGCCCCCGAAGAGACTGGAGCCTAAATCCAGCGCCTTAGACCGCTCGGCCACGCTACCTTACAACGCTGCGTTCCCTGAGCAGTTTCGACACCAACTTGTTTCAAGTAGCGCAACAGCTCTGGGAAATCAGTTCAATTTAGCCATGCCTAGCTGGAGCTCCTCCACAAAGAAAGAGACCTCCTTAATACCAGCTTAGGAAGCACTCCCACCTTCCTGTCAACCACAGTTCTGTCTCTATTTGAGCACACCTCAAGGCATTTGAAGTCTTCTCCTTACGGCAGCCAGCTGCGATGCATTTAAGCACCTGATTACAAGGTAACTGTTATTTCACAAAAGAGTGAAAGTTACTGATTCCATCACAGCAGACCCCACATTGTTGTTGTTATTATATTCAAATCCAGTTATAGAGTATTACTACTCTAATTGTGAATCTTTACTGTTCCTGTTTCAATAGGGTGCTCTTGCTAAAAGGAGCAATGGCAAAGAGAGACTTCCAGTGCAGACTTTGTTAAGATGCTGCAATCTAATCGTGGGAAAGACACTTGCTCCTGAGCAGATTCAAGCTTTTTTTTTTTGTTTTTTTCTTCATTAAAAAATACATCATCAACAATCATGACATTTATACATACAAATATTTAAAAGATAAAATATTTAAAAATCTCCAGGTAAGAAAACTTTAAAACCAGTCCAAGTTTGTACAATATATGGATTATTTTTTGTAATACATTTTTCAAAAATGTCCATCTTTTCATACATTTTGCAATAGTCATATATAACCATTATTTCCTCAGTCACAATCTGTTTATACAACAAAACCAATGGAATTTCTTTTTTCTTTTGTTTCATAATATTTCTTCTTTTCCATATTGTATATCTTGCAAGAGTCAACATATAATTAAGAGCAAATTTATTTTTTGTTTTCCCATTAAAACCAAATAAAAACAGTGTATCCCATTCTTCTAAAATAATGTTTTCATCATACAGAAAATTACATACCACTGTTTTCAACATCTTCATAAAATCACTCAACTTTTTACAATTTAAAAATAGGTGTAACACGCCTTCCTTTTTTTCCAAACACACTTTACACAAATCATCTTGTGATACCCCAATCTTTTTAAAAATTATCTCTGTCATTATGCAGTTGTGTCTTAACATAAAATCAAAGTTTTCCAATGCTGGACTTTTTAAAATTGATCTTACATTTTTCCATATATTTGAAGTATCAAAGTTTTCAAATAACTTTTCCCAAAATTCTCTTGATTTAGGTTTTTTAAACACAGTATTACACAAACATGTATAAAACATCTTGATAGGACAATCATTGATACTAATTTTATCTTCATCCATTTTTAAAAAAACTTTTATTTTTCTATTTTCAGTTTCTTTTTCATTTTCTTCAATAGTTTTGATCCAGTGATCTGGTAATGCTAATCTTAACTTCTTGTATTGATCTTCAATTTTTTCTTTATCATCTACATCTTCTATTTCCTCCAGTGTATCTATTATTGCTTGAGTCGGTAAAAACCCAGGTTTTATTTCATATAAAATGTCTTTTACTTGTCTAAAACCCACTGCATACCAGTTCTCATAAAACATTTGCTTTTTGCTTTTATTGTTCTGATTTAAAAATAGGGGTTGCTGTAAATAAAGTTTTCTCCCTTCAATCTCAGTTTGTATATTATTATAAAAGCATTTCCATGTTCTCAACAACTCTTTATAAAACTCAGGAATATTTTCTATCATGCGGTCTTTAAATGCCATCCATAAGAAATCATCTCCTATTTGTCCACATTTATTAATAAAATAACTCATTATGCTTTTCCATGGAATATTGTCTTCATTTAAAAACTTTTTTAATGTTTTAATTCTCAGGCTTTTCATTCTTATCCATGGATCTATGAGTCCTAGTCCTCCCTCATCCACCTTTCCAATGATAGTGTTATATGCAATTTTAGATGGTTTATCATCCCATAAAAACTTTAAAATCATATTTTTTATTTTCTTATACACCCACGTAGGTAGACTAACAACACTTAAAACATACCACATCTTAGATAGAAAAAGAGAATTTAATACCAGTACTTTTCCTTTTAAAAACAACACTCTCTGTTTCCAAAAACATAATCTTTTTTCCATTTTATTTATAAGTTCATCCCAAATTATTTCTCTAGCTTTAATTTCATCATATCCCAGTGTAATGCCTAAGATATTTATGTAATTTTTTTGTTCTTTATATTCCCAATTTCCTTGTGGAACGTCTACTTTTCCTATCTTCATATATTCAGTTTTTTCTTTATTTACCTTTGCTCCCGATCCTCGACAATATTTATCAAATATTTCCATAGCTTTTCCAACACTTTTAAAATCTTTTAAAAATAGAGTGGTATCATCAGCATACTGGAAAATTTTCTGCTCTGTTCTATTTATTTCTATTTTAAACCCTTTAATTTCCTTTTCTCCATTTATAGCTAAGCCTAATGGTTCAGCAACTAATGTGTATAATAACGCTGATAAAGGACATCCTTGTCTTATAGATCTAGAAATCTCAATGTAGTCGGTTAAAAATCCATTTATTTTAAAACAACTAAAAATATCTGTATAAAAACATTTTATCCACTTAATAAAATTCTCACCAAAGCCAAATTTCTGGATTATGTCAAATAAATAGCTATGCTCAACTCTATCAAAAGCCTTTTCTAGATCTATGCTGAATAAAAATCCTTCATCTTTTTTTTCTTTTATGTACCAGATTAAATCTCTGATGCTTGTTACTGTGTCTGCTATATCTCTTCCTATAACACCATAAGCCTGGTTAGTAGTAATAAGAGTGGGAACTACCTTTTTAAGCCTGTTTGCTTAAATCTTTGCTAATATTTTATAATCTGTATTAAGCATACTTAAAGGTCTATAATTTTGCAAATCATCTTTATCACCTTTATTTTTATAAATTATTTTAATCATTCCTTTCTTCATACTCTCACTCAACTGTCCTTTTTTAAAAATAGCAATAAAAAGATCTTTTAAAATTGGAATTAAAACATCTTTAAAAGTCTTATAAAATTCAGATGACAAACCATCTAAACCAGGGCTTTTCCCATTACTTAATTGTGTTATAGCTTCATTGATCTCATCTTCAGTTATATCACTATCACACAGTTTTTTATCCTCTTCACTTACTTTAACCTTTATTTGATTTAATAAAAAATCCTTATCTTCTTCATAAACTCCTTTTGCTTTAAACAAAGTTCCGTAAAAATCTTTAACGGTTCTTAAAATACTTTCTTTATCTTTGACAGTTTTCTCTTTTGTTGAGAGATTCTTTATCAAATCTGCTTTTTGTCGTGTTTTTTCAAGATCATAAAAGAACTTTGTACTTCTTTCTCCTTCCACTGTATTTTTTATCTTACTTCTTATTCTAGCTCCCAAACATTTTTCCTCTTCTAGTTTTTTCAGTTTCTCTTCTAATATCACTATTCTCCTAATATCCATATTTCCTTCTGTTATCTTTTCCATTTCATTCTCCCATTCCTTGTTTAATTGTCTTTCTTTAGCTCTTTTGGCTTTCTGCATTTTCTTTGAACATTCTATTGAAAATCTTTTGGCCTCTAATTTTACATTGTCCCACCACACACTTATTTCTTCCTCATATAACTCGTCATTTACACTATTAATAATAATGTTTTCCATTTCAATTTTATAAAAATCATTCTTTAAAAGCTCTGTATTAAACACCCATACACCTGGTCCTCTTTCAACTCCACTGAAATCCATCATTACATACAGAAAATCATGGTCACTACAGCTAAAAATCTTGTAAAAAATATTTGAAATAAAAGATTCTAAATTCCTTGTACATAAAACATAGTCTAATCTACTTTGTTTTAAAACTGTATTCACCCACTGCCTTCTTGAGTATTCTCTTTTGGCTCTATTTCTCTCTCTCCATACATCTACATATTTATGTTTTTCAATCATGTGTTTCAGTTCTCTTCTTCCAACATCTGCTCTATACACCATATGATCATCTACATCTATTCTTTCTAAAACAGTATTAAAATCTCCTAAAACAATAACATTAATCCAACCACTCATTAAAACACTTAGATCTTTAAAAAAAGTAACTCTTTCCAGGTCTTCATTTGGAGCATGTATGTTACATATTGTTATTTCTTCATCCTTATTCATAATTTTAATAGTTAAAATCCTTCCATAATTATCTTTAAATAAAACATCAAATGTATATCCTATTCCCCTTCTAATTAGTATTGCCATGCCTTTTTTCTTATTTGGGTCATTATTATACAATATTTCCCCATCCCAACATTTTTTAAAATCTTTAGCAATGTTTTCATTCCATCCAGTCTCTTGTATACATATAACATCACATTTTTCTGTTAAAGCAATTACATTTTCAAACTTCACTTTGGATGACAGCCCTCTTACATTAATTGAAACCAAACATAAGTTGTTCATTAGAAATATAAAAGAAAACAAGCCATCCAAACAAAAGAAAATCCAAATGAAACAATCCATCAATCATTTGTAGTCTTTTTTATGATCTAAAATCTTAGATCAGTTCTGTCAGTTTTTAATTTTGCTTTTGCTTCCTTTCGTAATTTCTGTTTCTTAAGCACTTGCTGAATATTCAATTGTACAGTTTTTCTCCGTCTTCTGTTTATGCTGTCTATTGTTCTGTCTTTAGTCCCAATATTTATTTCTTCATTATCATCATCATTGCTTACCTCTTCCTCAATTCTGCTTTCTGTATTTTCACCTGCTGCTCCATGTTCTTCTTCCATGTCGTGTCCATCGTCTTTCATTAGATGTTGTGCCTCAGTCTCTGCTGTATCTCCTTCATCCTCTTCACTCATGGCCTGCTCCTCTTCTTGTTCATTCAAATCATCCGGTGGTAATTCCTGTACTTTCTCTTCCCGTTCTTCATTGCTTGATTTCTCCATTTGTTTATTTGTTTCCATAACTCCAGTCTCTTCCTCATCCGATTCACATCTGCACCACAATATTGTCTTTTTGCAGCCTTGGCACCGTGGGGCTTTACAGTCCCGCACAAAATGCCCCTGCTCCAGACATTCTCTACACACAAATTGTGGGCAGTCTTTTTTTTTCATGTTCAGCACTTCCACATAATCTGCATGTTTTTATCTGCTGATCATGTATGACTCTAAAATATTTTGGTCCTTCCTCTGTATCAAACTTGACATTGTAAGGAAGAGTCCTGACTTCTTTGGGAAATTTCACCCTGATTAACCTTGTTCCATCAGCCACAGTTGTTCCTGGATGATATCTTCTTCTCAGAGGGAGAATTGGAGAAACTCCCCAGTCCACCAGCTTTTGGATGATTTCACTATCTTGAATATAGTTGGGTAAATTTAAGAAAGAAACCATTCTCTCAGTTGCGCAGAGTTTTGATATTTGACAGAATTGTTGGTTAATCATTAGTCCATCCATTAAGGGATCACAGTCCGTTTCATTTTCCATAGTAAGTTCATAGTCAAAATTTTTCCTCAGTCCAAACAATTTTCCAATTCCAGTCTTATCTTCCACAGCCTTTATAATCATCGTTACAGTGATATTTTCAGGATCTTTCACAGTCATTGTCAAAGTTGTTTCTTTTTTATATTGTCGCTGAAATCTAGCTTGACTTTTCAGTTTGTTTATCATCTCATTTCTATGACTTGATTGTTGGCTGTTTTCCAAGTGTTCAGCATTTGCTTTACCTTTAGTTTGTTGCATTTCTCCACTTCCTTCTCTACTTGTGTCTGATTTAGTTTTCCTCCTTCTTGCCACAACAGTTGCCCATGTGTCATTATCGTCGATGCCGTTGTTTGAATCTCTTGAATTGTTGTTTTCAGGAGTAGCTTTGTCCATGCTGCCATAGTCCATTTTTAGTTCCAGTTCCTTTACCAAAGTGTCCATCCTTTCAAAACGTTTTAACCCCAAACAGATAACACTGTCTGGGGTTTAACTAAAACTAAACAAAATTAATACAATTTAATTTAAGCAAAATCAAGAAAAAAAACAATAAAGCAAATCAAAATGGGAGAGCCTTTCTCTCCCTACTGCCACCTCACACTTCCTTGAAAGCAATGACTCAGTCAAACTCAAGGGGGCGTTGCCAGGGTGGTATGGCCGTAAGCGAAATAGGCCGTCAAGAGTTGGCTATTTAAAACAGGCGCAGCACCAGGGAACGAGCGCAGCTCAGCTGGCATCGACACAGCACCGACAGAGAAACAATGCCCTTAAAGGCGAGAAAAAATAATGGCAGCGAAGCTGTGACACGGGGAAGTCTATCAGCTGCCAAATGAAGGACTTCGAGAAGCTTACAGCACCTGGTATTCCCAGGCGGTCTCCCATCCAAGTACTAACCAGGCCCGACCCTGCTTTACTTCCGAGTTCAGATGAGATCGGGCATTTCCTGGGTGAAAATCAGTCCTTAAAGCTGTATTAATAAATCGCAGTCCAATAAAGGAATTAACTTTTTGGCAAATTCTTACTTTATCCGGTGAAATAAGGATAAATTGAAATATGTGTACTAATTAGGGATGTAACGGTATTGTAAATACCGTCATACCGCAATATTAATTTTTTTCGATATTACCGAACTCGCATGACTCGGTAAAACTATAGGTCTTCTGAGAAAATTTGCTCAGGCGAATGAAGTGAACGGGAGGTAGCGAAAACTACAATTGCCATCAGCCCATGCTTGACCATCATCCCTTGCGGTCTGTTGTCGCTACAGATCCAGTAATGCGGAAATGGAGTGTGCTGCTAGAAGCGGGGATGAAAAGAGCTGGAAAACTCTAAGGCCCCGTTTACACTAATGCGTTTTAGTTTGAAAACGCATAAGTTTTGCTACGGTTACGCCAACCGTCCACACTACGCCGGAGTTCTCGAGCGCCGAAAACAGAGCGTTTCGAAAACGCTGGAGAAGCCGTTTTCATTCTGAAACGCTGCTTTTCCGTCTCAGTGTGGATGATGGAAAACGGAGACATCTGAAAACGGAAGTGGGGCTGCAGACGTTCGCCTCTCTGATTGGGGCTTTTCCTGAATATTAAGTAGCCTAACACACACAGTTCAGTCCTGCATTATCTCCGTGTAAGTTCAGACTTCGCAAGTTTGATCATGGCTGCAGTCTCTTCTTCTCAGTTTGATATGGAAAAGCAGACTATACCGAGGACACGGGTAAATCTTCAAAGGGAACAGTGTACTTTATAACTTCATTCACATCACCCTGTCTTCGTTGTTTCACTTTGTCAACAATAAAATGTAAACATGATTTAAGGAACTGCCTATTTTCATTTTAATATAGCAACTTAGACAGCAGACATGTTGACGCGTCTTGCTGCATATATGAGCGTCATCTTCACTGTGTGGATATTTATAACAAAACGGAGCCGATAACAACTGCCTCCTTTCAATTTCAGTGAAAATACGAAACACACCCTCTCTTTTGCTGAGTATCAGTTTTAAGAATCGATAATGGCCATTTTAAAAGTATAACATACAATAAGTTTATACATTATAGGAAATAAAGGCAAGCAATCAGTCAATATACAGAATGTAGGCTACGTGGTTACATTAATCATTAACTTATCTTTGCGCTCAGCCAAAACACGTTACCTGAGAACAAGTAATAGATTCCAATGACCAAAGTCAGGGAATATGTCGTTAGATAAAGACAACAAGATAAATGAAATATCCCGTTTAATAAATATAGTGAGATTAGATCCAGCGGGAGATGCTTGATGAGAAGTCCGACTAGCAGAGCTCTCATCTGGGTAGATGGGCTGAGTGTGATTAAATGTTGAATGTGATGAGTTTTCAACAATACTAAATTGAAACTTTATTTTTTACATGGTTTAATATTTTTTTGTTATTAAAATTGAAGTTCCTGTTTCAAAGCTTACAGATAGATGGCTAATTTGTATGTCATTGACACTTTTGGCACTTTTTTGGAGTATTTTCATAAGTTTTGTTTTTTCCTGTAAATGATTCAATAAATACCGTACCGTGACATTCATACCGAGGTATTACCGTACCGTGAAATTCTGATACCGTTACATCCCTAGTACTAATATAATGGAATACCTGTCAAATTCACGATTTCTATATCACTCTATGGTCTTCTCACACACACGCGATTGCAAAATGGCGTCAGCGCACTGTAAACGCAATGCAACATGCGGTCTGACTTTAACACACTCTTAAACACACTAACACACTAAATAACAACTATTTTGCAGGTACAACTTGATTTAGTACAACTAAAATCACTTTTAAACTGTTTAGGAATCATAACATACTGTATTTTAATCTTTTTGTTCAAATTTGCTCCTCTATTATTCTGCCAACCGGTCTCGTCTCTGCTCTGTCTCTCTCTCCCAGCAAGTGGGATGTACAAGTGGCTCAAACTCGCTCATTTTGATGCAGGAACCGGCGGACGTGCAACAACTTTAACTATGAGGTTAATACACAACAAAACTTTCCACCCGGAGCTCCTTCATGGGACTCCACACTTGTAAACAATCGCTCGCGCCATTCGCGCGGCTCTCGGTCCCGCCCAGACTCGTCAGCGCTACCAAGCCAACCAATCACAGAGCTTACGCTACGCGTCGTTGTGACGTGTAGTTACATTTTTTGAGAGGTGCACGTCAGTATGTGCCGTAGCATACACCGGCGTTTTACGCAGAAGTATAAATCAGCCTTCAACCACTCGGCCACCTCGTCACATATTTTACTTCTTCTCTGGTAGAGGCCGGACTGTGGCACATATTTATATATGTATGTTTCTGCAACTATTTTCGGTAAGATGACTTTCAGTTTTGCCGTATGAACGACAGAGCAAATGAACGACAAAAATGGGATTCGATGGACTAGGCCACCACGTCATGTATGTACTCACTTTCCTGTTGGGGGCTGGACTACGGCATTTCTGTATATATTGGCTGCTGTTTTCGGTAAAGATGACGTTAAATTTTGCAACAATATCCTTCAAAACGATAAGAGCGTGCGAGTAAAACACCTTCCACGGAAGCACCGGCCGCTTTCAAACGCCAGAGCATTCGAACGACAAAGATGGGATTCGATAGACCCTTCCACCTTGTCATGTATGTACTCACTTTCATGATGGGGGCTGGACTATGGCATATGTTTGTATTTTCAGCTATTTTCGATAAAGTTGGCATAAAATTTTGCAACAACATCCTTCAAAACGCTAATAGAGTGAGAGAACTTATACAGAAACACCATGATCTCTCAAATACCAGAACATATGAGCGACGAGGATGGGATTCGAACCCATGCGTGCAGAGCACAATGGATTAGCAGTCCATCGCCTTAACCACTCGGCCACCTCATCCAGCCTTTCCTTCCTCACTGGTAGAGGCCAGACTGTGGCACATATTTGTATATGTATGTTTCTGCAACTATTTTCGATAAGATGACTTTCAGTTTTGCCATATGAACGACAGATCAAATGAACGACAAAAATGGGATTCGATGAATTCTTCCACCTCGTCATGTATGTACTCACTTTCATGATGGGGGCTGGAATCTGACATTTCTGTATGTATTTGCTGCTATTTTCGGTAAAGATGACGTTAAGTTTTGCAACAACATCCTTCAAAACGCTAAAAGAGTGAGAGTAAAAGTACTTCTACAGAAACACCATGATCTCTCGAATGACAGAACATATGAGCAACGAGGATGGGATTCGAACACACGCATGTAGAGCACAATGGATTAGCAGTCCATCGCCTTAACCATTCAGCCACCTCGTCACGTACTTTCCATCTTCTCTGGTGGAGGCCGGACTGTGGCACATAATTGTAAATGTATGTTTCTGCAACTATTTTCGGTCAGATGACTTTCAGTTTTGCCGTATGAACGACAAAAATGGGATTCGATGGACTCGGCCACCCCGTCATGTATGTACTCACTT